AAGTAGTTTGTTTAATTATTTTTCAGTTTGTTGTACTTTTGTTTATGGCTAAAGGCATTAGCAGTTGTGGTCAAAAGCTGACAGTAAATACGTGCAATTGTGGCCCACAGGACGAAGCTCCACATACAAGGATATACGCACGCACATACAAACTTCTTAATATACAAGCAGCGTACATTAGAGAAGGCATAGTAAAAAATGGGTTAATGGGCGTGAAGAAGCGCTTGCAACCACTAGAAAGTGGTTTCAGCATAAAATTGCAAATAACGAGTGATGTGAGACGCGTAACGCTAATCCTTAGACAACTGCGTTAAGAGGAAGTTGAACAGAGGAATTACTTAGTTGAAACTCTGGTTACATTTTGCAATGGGACCAACCCAAAAATTAAGTACAACGAAGCAAGCTTCTTCAAAGCTTTAATGAGAAATTTGAAACAATATATACGTACGAGTATATATAATACATTCATATAAGTATATACATTTATTGTTAAGGAAAATCATGTAAAATGTTAGGTTCGCTAGATGCTCTATTTCTAAGAAATTTTTGTAAGTATCCATTGGATACTCTCAATCGTTTGCTTAGTATAACAATTTTAAGCGCCAAATTTTTACATTTACGCGCAGCTTCTAGCTCAGAGCAATTCTTGAGATATGTGGATTGTGGATGTAGGTGCTTTTAGATAGAGACAGTAAATGTAATTCCCCTGCGAAGGGGAATTTTTTTCTGCTACATATAGCTGTGCTCTTTTAAAGCATTTCAATTATCCTTTTTAGAACTTTAAAAGCTTGTGTGCCTGTAAAAGCTTCAGTAGACTGTTGCGTTGCAAGGGATGAAGATATAGTTGAATTCCTTGCTCTTATGTTTAAGACTATAGCATATTAACAACGTTTGTATTTATGCATTAATAACAAAAATAAAATACATCGTATTGATTTTTAAGCTACGCACTTCCCTGTATTGGCTCACACCCATCTTAAAATGCATTTCGGTATATAGAAAAGCGTAACCATGTTTGGTAGTGATCCGTTATTTTGATTGTAAATATATTTAATGTAATATTTATTTTTATTTTTGAAATACTATTTTTTGAGTAGTTTATCTAATTACATGTTATAATTTAATCTAATTATTTTTTTTACGGTTATGACAAAAAATGATTTACTTGGGAATTAAAATAGTCCATTCAAACTTTTTGATAAGTCATTGCATATCCTTAATAAAATATTAATTTCATTGCAGCATTTCTTTCGTGTACGGACATAATTTTATTATCCTTTCACTATTAAAGCAACATATTTGCAAAGGTTAACGTCCTGCAATAAAACCAAACCAACGCATGCGCCCGCAAAATACGCTAGAGTTAGAGTAAAAATTGTTGTGTGGTGAATAAAAATTTTGGGCGCGTAAACTTTTTGTTGTTTATAAAAATAAAGAAAAACAACATAAAAAAGTTTAAAATATATATGTAAAGTGTGTTCATTATTTACATTATTTACTCTCCTTATGTTTTCTTTTCTCAAAATCATATTAAAATCCCTTAAGAAATAAAATAAATAATCTTAAAATTTAAAATCTCAAAGAACTTTAACGACTTCAACGACTAATGTTGACTATATGGCTATATTAACACTTTATAGTACTCCTACGTTTGTTGGGTTGAGGTTGCCGCCTTTGCCTACTTTTAGGCGCATAGTACGTGAAACAAATCTGCCGGAAATGAAATTTTACATCTATTGTTTTTCGCTTGTTTACATAAAAAGTGCATAAATGCCAAATTACATAAAACAATGTGAAATTGTTAACAATAGTTCAAAGTACGTTGAATTATTGACATAAAAGATTTTTATTGTATTGCGAATTGTTAATATAGGTTAGGAATGTTGACTAAAGTTATAACATAAAAAGTTTCCTGGTTATTGTACAGAAAGGAGTTTTAACATATCAAGAGAGAAATAATTTTTAAATGTTGTTAAGTATATTTTTTAATTATAAACTTAGAGTAATAATATTGTACTATTATTAATAGATTAGTTAAATTATAAATATGTTAAGAGTTATGTCTTTTATTATTTGTGAAAAGTTAATTTATTTAATTGGTATTGAATGGAAGAATACAGATTAAATCTTCCCCGGTGAATTTAGCTAATTTAATTATTAGTCTTCAGTATTTACCGATGAACACTCTGATAACTTGTCAAAAAAGTAGTTGACTAAAAACCTTTTTCTTCTGGACGCCATAGCTGGGCATTCACAGAGAAAGTGTTTAATGGTTTCTTTTTCCTGCAGGTTTCCACAACTTCCGTAGAGAGGATTATGAGGCATGTACAGCCTCTCTGCGAGTATTTGTATATACCAATGAACACAAAGAACTGCAGTAAACATTGCAGTGTTCACACAATCCCCTTTGATGAGTTCCCAATATCTAGTTTTATTATAGGTGTGTGATGTTAACCGGGAAATTACACAGGACTTAAGTGTCTTCCATTTGTTTTTAGCAAACCGAAGAAAGCAGAGGTAAGCATTTGTGTTAATGGTCTCTAGGGTGAGTTAAACGGATGCTGCTAGGGACACATGCAGGACCGAGTCAAACTCTCAGATTTCTCTTTCCCTTCAAAGTTCCTATGTCCAGACACCCATGTAAGGGTGATGTCAAGCAACCGGTTTAGTTTGTCGATTATCGATTTCTTCTAATAGTTATGAAAATTAGAACTTACATTACATTTTTCATTTGATTTTCAATTAAAGTTTATTATTATTATTATGGATAGGTTGTGCATGCACTGCGACCTGAAAGATTTTTCGCTTAACTAGTCCAATTTCAAACTTATAAAAAATTTTGTGATAACTTTGGGCCATATTTTAATTAAGTGATTAGGACTCAAAACTTCATTGCCTAGATAGTAAAATCTGCGTCTTGCCACGGCTGGGCAGGTACATAGAATGTGTTCTGCAGTTTTCTTTTGTCGTTGATAGAGTCGACAGGAATCGTTGTCTGTTAGACCAATGTTTTTCAGATGGTTTCCCAATCTGCAGTGGCTTGTTAGTAGTTAAAAGTAAAGTTTGATATCTGTTCTGCTTTAGTTTAGAAAAACTTCAGCCTTTATATGTTCAGAGATAATACACCGTTTTGACTACTGCATACCTTTTTGAGCTCTCCACAACTCAGTTAGTCAGTTCCCAATAGCAAACGTGTTTTTGCTACCATTTTGACTAGAACATCTAGCCCTACAGTGCCTGTTTTATTTTTTATGAACAATTTTTCTAATATATTGTATAAGAGCACGATATTTTAGATGAATACACAAAAATGGTTCAGGATCTTCCATACATAATCTGCATTCCTCGATTTTCGAAAGTCTTTACCGCAGCTTATGTTTATGCTAATGATCTATTCAGATTTGAATATATCAGATTTTGTCTTAATAGCTTGCGAAGAAGAGTTTTGAAAGTATAATAATAACGGTTAAGTACGGAAAACAGATCTCTTATAAAAGCCTATAAGCGGTAACGGCAGTGCAAGGTGGGAACCAGAAAGTTTATACCACAAATATAATATATATGAACTAAACAATACATTTGTAAATTTGAAATGTGATATCTATTTATTGACGTAAAAAAAGTAAGTAAAGAAGAATTATAAACTTTAGAATTTGGCCTTTTTTCAATGCTTAAAAAAATACATTTTGGTTTAAACATGACACACATTTTACATTAACTATACGTAATGTTTTATCCATCCATCCTTATCCATTTTATGAATAGAAGACGAATAAGTTTGTCAAAATATACCTTGTAATGTAATGTACCTAAATATCTCCTAAATTTTAGGTGATTAAATACTCAACATAACAAATCAATTTAACCAAATGGTATGACTGTCTGCAGATCTTTATCAAAGCAAGTCTTTTAATTTTTAAATTAAAAAAAATTTTTAAAAAGAATAATTAATAGCAATATTTTTTATGTATGAAATAGTTTTTAAGTATGAAAATTTTTTAAGTCGATTTTGTTTTTTTAGAATTTTAACTTTGATTTTGGTAGTTGTTTTTAATATATTCCTATACGTATTTCGGCAAATGCGCTTTTGCTTTTATCAGAAGAATTTCTAGTATTAATAGAATTTTTGTATAAAAAATATTTGTTATAATTCAATCATAATTATAAAATATAGCATTCAAGAAATTCAGATTTAAATAAAATTTAGTCAATATGTTCAATTTATAAATATAAAGTTTTTATATGCGTTAACCTGAACTATATTCACCACACGCACAATGCAGCATATCCGCAGGCAAATCGTTGACTTCACCTCGCATCATTTTCAACACGTCTGTAAATACCGTAAACTTAATTTCGAATACAGAATGTGCATTTAGTTTAGATTTTTTGGTTGATGATAATTTTATTAATTTATAAGGACACAATGAAACCGTATAACTTTATAAGTATAGTATAATATTTAATAATATTAAAATAAAATTGACAAAAAATACAACAAATACTTGCAAAAGTATTCCCACACAGTGTTTATCGTAACAAGCGACATATTCAGCCCGTATGCATGGAGGCGAGATGTTTCACGTTTTTGTTGTTACTTTTGTTGTCTACCGCATAAAAGTGGCTGTTTGCTATTTGTTTTGCTGCTAAAAGACTTCGATGGCAAAATTTGTGTTTCAGTCTGAATCGAATTGTTGTGAACGATGGAAGCGAAATAAAAACGTTCGAAGCTTGATTGTGAGTAGTGGAAGTGTCGGTTATTGTGGGCTTTGAAGTGAATACTTTTATAAAAAATTGTTAGTATTTTTTTGATATAAGAATAATTGAAAAATATATATTAAAGCAAATTTAATTAAAAAATTTTTATAAAAACATTTGAAAAAATTAAATAAAAATCATTATTTTTGTTAAGAAAAAAGTGTGATTGTGTGCACAATAAAAAAGTGCATTAACATAAATTTTGATTGCATTCCCTTATATAAATTGGCAATAATAAACTAAATCAAAATCGGTTTGTTAATAAAAAAAAATTATTTGCGTGTCTCAGCGCCCAAAAGTCTACCATTTTTCATAGCTTAAGCATACAAAATTACAATAAATATTCTGAGAAAAAAAAATTTTCACAAAATAAACAACATTGAACCTGTAAATTTTGTGTGCTCTGTACTTACTACGTCCTTTCCTTACTACGTAAAGGAGTTCACACACACACGTACATATACACACCTAAATGCTTAACATTTTCGAAGTGTAGAAGTGAATGTACAGTGGCTTTTATTACAGAAACAAAAAGTAGTAGAAACAATAAAACAGCAACAAAAATAAAGCAACAGTCGCAAACTGCCACGCAAGGATACTTTATACCGGAAGCTGCTTGTGTTTTGATATAAATTTGTATGGCAGCAAAGTACAAGGGCAAGGAGAACCGAGAAACGAGAAAGAAAATCAGTGCCATAGAACCTTAAAAAAAAAATAACAAAAAAAAAAAACACTGTCAGAATTTTTATAGCAAATTTCAGAGAACAACAAATATTTAAATCCTTTTATACAAAGTAGTCTACAATTTTGTACTTTTTCTATTAAATGTGAGTATAATAATTTGTTATAAAAACACTTATTATAATTTATATATGATTGACTTGTTTTAAATATATTAATTTATGTGATTATATAAAATCTTACAAATGATATTATATATAAAAATAATATTTTAATTTAATTTATGCCCTAAAAGGCCAAAGCACTGAACGAGCCCTAAAAGTGCATACGCATAAGTTCATTTCATACCGTAAGTGGGATAGAATAGAATCCAATTCAGAGGTAATGTGGGATAAAATAACTATATAAGGCCTTTAAAAATAACATCAAGCAAAATAAATTAAATTTAAATATAGATAAGTTAAATTTAATTAAAAGTGGTAAAATTATTAAAAAGGAATTATACATAGTTAGTAATCAATTTTAATAAAATGATTGTTTGTATTGTTCGCAACATTTCGAAAATTATTTATAAATACATATGATTATATTCATAGAAAAGAATGTTTTCTTTATAATTGTAATTTACTACTGTTCAAAATACTTTAAAATAAATACCTGTTCAAAATAAATGACAATATATTAATTATTATATTAATATATATATTAAGAATTTAGTTTCTTTCTTTCTTTTACAAAAATAATTTGGAAAGAAAATGCAGATAAGTTAAAAGATTATCTATAAACTGATTAAATTTACTCGGAAGGGTCTCTCATTATATTATTATATATAAAGAGATATAATCTCTGACTTTTTTTAATATAACAAGCCACAGATTTCTTGTTTTCATAAGTGTTACTGATTAGAGATCTCACAGAATTTCAATAGGTCATAAAAGAATTGGAGAAATATAATACCCAGATTATAATTCCGTCATTTTATCCCATTTTAATACAAATTTTAAATTCATAGGTTAGTGAATACTGCAATGTCTACTATGGAACCATTTTTCTGTGACCAATTTCAAATTATGACTGCATTAATTATGACAGAATTTATAATACTTCCAATACTATTTGAATATATGGAATATATACCTATATATCGTGTTCTTTTTACATATAAGTTTGTTAAAATCGTTAGTATAAAAAAAATTGACGAACATGTAAAATACACATTTATTATTTACCTTAATAATAAATAAGTTTACTATTTTATTACTAAAAATTGTTTAGATCTTAAATTTGCAAGTCAAAGTTTTTAATTTTGAATGTTGTTAATAATATGTATATAAATTATAATATAACTTGTCAAAAAATTTTCAAAATCCCAATATTTATTTTTCAAGTGATATTGTATAATGTAATGTTTAAGTAAGTAATTTGTAATTTGTGGTTTTTTAAGATTTTAAAGACTCTTTGCCTTCACAAATGCCAAAAAATAGGAAATCTTGATCTCAGGATCTATGAGTTGTTGCTGATTGAGTTACAATGAGCAATTTGGAAAAAAGATGTGAATTAACACTCACAAAATTTTATACAAGCAATGTTGTTTGGAAGAACACGGCGCACACCAGAGTATTTCTTAATCGAGAAAATATTTTTTTAAACTGACTTACATACATAGGTTTAATAAAAAAATGAAGGCAACAACAACAAATCAATCCATTAATTACAAGTAGGCTTTATTGTACAAGTTTGTCTTAATTCTTCTAGTGAAACCTTTGTTCTATTTTCAGTAATATTTTAGGATACTGCGCCACTGTATAGGGGTTGTAATCTATTTCTAAATAGCATAATTTATTGAAATCCTTCACCCTTACACATGACTTTAATATAAACAAAACACTTCTGTTCTCATAACTGAATCTTAGATCTCGTGAAGTCAATTCAGTAATCATAAAATATTTTTAATATTAGCAACACTTAATCCTTAAATGGAAAAAAATTGTTAATATTTAGAATCTATAATATATTTCATGTATCCCATACAAATGCTCAATTAGCATAAGAAAAGTTGTTAGGTATAATCCAATGTTACACCAAAATATGTTTGTACTAAAATATCTGGTATACGAGTAGTCGGTTTATATTTATTCTTCTTCATAATTTCTTCATCAGGGAGAGATGTTGGCATAAAACTACCATAACGGGACTCTAATTATCATATTAAAAATATTATAAAAATTTAAAAATAAATGAAAATAAAAAAATTAAATAAAAAATAAAAATATTTTATAAAAATTTCGACATATGTAAGTATGGTTTTCTAAAAAAGAACAGACAATTTTTCAGTAATAATAATAAGTTCATTAAAAACAAAATTAATTAATTTTAAATGACAAAAAGTGGATAATACTTGATTTGTTAAGTTATAGTTAAAAAAATAATTTTTAATCTTTAAATTAAATTAAATAAAAATAATCACAGCAAATTAACAAAACTCTAAAAGTGCGAATATACCAGTCAAGTACAGCTTCGGGTCAGTTGGCTAATGAACACTGACACTGAGCTTCAAATTTGACAGGGCACGAGTTCATCCCTTGCAGTGTCAAAAAATTATTTATGAATATTTAAATACAAGTAATAATTCCAAAACCACGGATGATGAGTATTTGGGAATACTTGAAACAGCTGTAAAGTCAGCAAAAAATTTAATTAATTAAAATAATATAAAAAAGGATTTTTATTGTTGTAGTTCACTACTTTTCGAAACCTCTCAATAAAAATAATATTAAAATTTGGTACCTTATAATATTTTCTACTTAATACTCTTTCTCGCTATATTTCACGGGGCCGTCAGTAATCTTTTAACCATTAAATTAGAAAAAGTTATTAAAAATCGACTATTTTCAATCGACTAAAAACTAGTATATAAGGTTTAGTAGTTGAATAAAACATTTTTAAAACATTAAATGTTTGTCCTTTAAGGAATATTTTATGTAGTGCTTTCTTTGTCATTTTAATCTTAATGAGCACGGATTCTTCTGACCATTTCTTTTAGAAAGGAATCGTCTTATACCTTAGTATCAGTTAGTTGGAAAATACCCCATATAATACCATTTTGATCAAATTAGTGTTTAATTGTATATTCAATACATTATCGAAACTTAATTATGTTTCCTATTTAATTAAATAAGAAATATACATATTATTAATAGTAATCTATGCAATTAAAAAAACCTTTCTCACACTTGCAAATCAATTTAATTATAATCGCTGTTCACACATTAGCGCCAAACTAAGATATAAATTTATATCTAAAATGTAAACTATTCAAAGTATGTTCTATTTAATGTTTCATCAAAGACATTCATCTTCATAAAATCACACATAAATCAAATGAGAACCAAATCTGTCGTTCACACAGAAACTGCAAACTCGGTCAATAGCTTTTTTCCTCCAGCTGCAAATTTCCATCGCATGCATGCATTTTAAGAGTCGCTGTGAAGACTAAAAAAATATAATTCTGAACTCCGTTTCACAGCACACACTTAAAATCTATTAGAAATAACGTCATTTGCAGCAAAAACTAGAAAAAATTTTTCTAAAAAAAACACACCTACATAAGGAACCTAAATACGATATGCCCAACTAAAACTACGACATTAAAAACATTTATTATATGTAATCCACACATATCCAGCATTCATCCACCAGGACTACACTTGCCTATTAGCGTTATAGTTTGGGGAATTCAACGCGCCAGAAGATTCAATTACATGTTGCTCACGGTGTTGTAGTGCGTCTGGAAGTGAATTCGCTGTTGATTGCTGTGGCAGATGAAGGAGCCAGGATTTATTTAATTTTGCATTTTTCCAATTATGTCGGTTTCATTTTCCTTATAAACATTTCCTTTGTTCTCTTCCCATTCCTTCCTATATTCCCCGTTTAGTATTTTAATTTTCTTTTCTTATATCTGGAATGGGGCTACACTCGAGCAAGGCGTCCGCAATCCATCCACAACAACAACCACATCAACATCAACAGCACTGCGAATGCATGTCATCTTTCATTCTTTGAAAAAGAACAAAGACAGAGATGATAATGGAACTAAAAATCAACACAGAAAAAAAACGACTCGTGAAGAATAGAAAAATTCATTTTTACTTTCACAAAAATTTGCTCCATTTTCCATTTGCAGGTTTTAATTTCCCTGTTGTGCTAAAGAATTTTATTGCAAAGTTTACACAAAAAGGAGTTGTAAATAGCATACAAAATAAATATTTTTACTGATTGAAATAAAAGAAAAATAAAAAAAAATTCTTTATATATTTTCAAGTACTTAATGAGGAAAACTATTTTCCATCTTCATTCGTTCCACACGCAGGAGTGCCATTGGTTTACTAAGATTAAATAAAATTTTATGTAAGTTTTATACATAATTTTTTGTGTGTAATTTAAAATTCTAACACCTTTCGTGTTGAAATGTTTGATTTAAAATTCAACAAAAAATTCTTTAGAATTTTATTTTTACTACTTAGTAAAAAGTTATAAAACTTTAAAAGCCATGGCATTCGCTACCACTTGGTTTATCTCCCAAGTTTTTATGTTGAATTATTTGCATTTATCCGGCTTAGAGTTGCTTTGCCTTGGTGTGTTTACTCTGCTTATTATGCAAAAAAAATAATAAAATTGTTTTATTCGTACTGGCATTTCCCTAAAACAGATGCAATTCGGTTCAGAGCAGACGTGACCGTGCATTCTCCCCCCAGCAAACAGTTCACCTTCAAATGCAAAAGTGAATTCAAAGATTTGTGTAGATATTTTACCTATTATACACCTCAAATATATTTATCCTGTTGGCTGGAATTATGTCATTGAACTGGTAATGGAGTATATTATGTAGGGAGTTCTTGTAGATATCAATGATAAGCATATTTTTATAACAATATAGAAGTTTTACATTTATTAAAGTGTTATAGATATTTGATATTAGTCTCATGGAAGTAAAACAAATGTATGAAGAGAACATACTTGTATATGAAAAGGTTTATATAAAACTACATGAATTAACTGTAATAATAATTGCTGTATAATATTTGTCCAGAAATCTATAATTGATTTATTTAAAAATTATTAAAAATTACCGGAACAACAAACTTTA